CCCCAAAACCCCAAAACCCCAAAACCCCAAAACCCCAAGATAGCTACATTTCATTGGAAAAATACGATCTTAAAATTCAATACTAATTTCATCATCATTAGGTTTTCTTCTCTTTGAACTAGCAAGAAGACTCATCCGTGAGCTGAGCTTAGAATTGATAAATTGAGTAGAAGTTGCTGTGGATGAAAAGCTGATGGAAGATCGTTTCTTCTGACAGCTTATCAAATTCTGATGAAGAAGTCTATAGTAATCTTTGGAGTACTGTACCTGCGCTTGAGCAATTCACGTTTCTGCTTGGGAGTGATTTTCTCCCAATTATCATTAATGATCTGAGAGTATGAGCATATCTCATAGCTTTTGGAGTACTCAATTCATTCACCTTTGTATGAAATATCTGTGACAAATTGCATTCCATTTGCTTTATTCATGAGAAAATGAGGAAAAAGAGAGCCGAAATTTCTGATTTGACGAACTTCAGAATTAGAATTATCCATAGTCTGGCTTGTTCTTTTAGAAGAGGTTAATTTAAGGCTTTTATTTCTACCATAGAGCTTATTCTTTACTTTTCTATTTATGGATAATTTCTCTGACAGTTTTCTTTTCGATTTTTCATAAAGTTACTAACAACAAGAGAGTATGAGTGCTCACTTGTCTAGGAGTTCTAAACTCCCGGTCTAAGCTAAGAATATTGGCATTCGTGTCTGGAAAGAGTTCAATGATGTGATACTGATCATTTTTAGCAGCAAGGTGATACACAGACTCATTAGTCTCTCTGTTTCGCATTGAAAAGTCAAATATTAGAGCTTTTTGCTTCATATTTAAATGTTTCATATACATAATAGCTTCTGTCTCTCCAGAATTTGCACACTCGAGGACAGCTGTCATCCCTTGCTTGTTGTAATTATTACAAACATCATATCTCACTCGAAGATTATTAACACTATGAGTTATGGTATCAATAACAGATCAGCTCTTAAGTATGTTGATCCACAGATTAAGGAACATAATATTACTGCAGTTATTTCCATTATCATCAGTCAAGCTCATGAGCCCTATCAGGTCTGAATCACCTCACTTATTTACAATCATTTATAACAGTTTTAACCATTAAGATATCCTTCCTGCGGATTGCATTGAAGAAAATATTGACAATTTTGTTCAGATTAAACTTTGTAAAAATCCCTGGGAACCTTTTAATAAGCCGCCTGCAGACTTTAGTGTCTCCAAAATTATAGCTCTTGTTGATCTCATCCAGAGCTTGCTCGGCAGTCATCTCTTCGTGTAGTCAATAGTTGACCTCTGGCTTCATGAAGAAATCCTGGTTTTCTTCGAGGCAAAATGGGATTTTAGTTAAATTTGGACTTCTACTAGAGAATTTATTCACGAAACAGTTGTTTATTTTGTCCTATTTTTTATTAGTCAATTTTAGGCAACATTAATGAGAAAGTGGAGAGCAGAGTTACCTTGGACCTGATCATCATAGGAGTTCAATTTTTTGAATCTTTGAATAATCCATTGGCAGGCGGGATTTCAGATATTTCGTCAAATTGGGACATCAGTGATGACTCTTCTGAGTAATTTATGAATGGAGATGAGGGTTGGTCCTAGTATTGGTTAGAACTAATATTTAATGCTTGTTTTATGAATAGTCCCTGTGTCAAAAGAAAAAAGTGAGAAAACTTAAAAAATTAGCTTAACATATAAATATTTAAGCCTTCCTTAAGTGATAATAAAGCTTTACGGGTATTCTGTCCATATTTTTAAATTTAAAGATTGCTCTTATTTGTATAATTCCATAAATAAGAGTTTAAATGGGGTTTTGGGGTTTTGGGGTTTTGGGG